TACGCCTCATCTTCTCTAGCGGCTCGTACGTCCTGATAGGAACCTCGAAGAGAATCCCACGCAGTGTGGAGAAACTCATGATTTCCACCTTCTTGGAAGAAGTCCACGACCAAACTCTAGCGTTATTAAGAAACAAGTAATACACACTAATACAGCAATGCACATTGCTTTTTTGCCCCTGATTTCATCCTCCAGCTTCAATGCGATTTCCACGAAAATCCAGTAAATAAAGCAACCCCTTGCTCACGTCCGAGGGATTCAGACATTTAGTCCGATTGAGCTTAAGAAGATTTCAAATGAATGCTTGGGTTGTGAAATAACTAAACTTTACTGAAGCTCCGGGTTGCAATGGTGATTTCCAAGAAGGGGTTATTTGGCTTAGGTGAACATGTACAAGGCAGTAGTTAGAATCAGAACAAAACAATAAAACGAAGATAAGTACCGAGTCATCGAGGATGTTCAGATATTGTTGAATTAGTTCGCGATTCTTCGCTTCGTTAGACCTATCCGTCATAAAACTGGTCGCCATGTCTGAAATCAGCTTTTTGTATTAGTAATGTTAAAGCAGTATAAGCCAAAACAGACCTCAAGAAAGTAAATGTATAAACAAGCTAGAAAGGAAACTAGGAGCACACACTACGAATCAAGAGGACCCAAACAAAAGCGCTAATTTCCCGCAAAAATTTGAAACAATAAAATTTCCCGCCAACGCCCGTTTGATTGGGGCGCATTTACTCGAGACGAAACTGGTGTGGGATCGAAGCGCTCAGTCCAAATAGGATTATTGAGGGGCGAATAGTTCCATTTGGAAAGGATGCAGAATAGTTTCGTAATGCAATAAATTTATTAACTCCTTAAAAGGGTTGCTTTTCCGCTTCATTTATTCAGGAGCATGACTAGATATTCCATTTGTTTGTTTCACGGTACGCTGTGCCTTGGGATCCTCAGCGAGGGAGGGGATGGGGGTCGTATTTGCCTTCGCGTAAAATTTTTTCTATGGCATGGTGGTTAAAATGTTTCTGGTAGCTCTCCTTCGTTTTTTCCGTGCCTACTTGCGCGCCCATAATCCATCCGCTCGGTGGCCCACTTTTCGTGGGTTTGGAAAACTGGGATTTTTGCAAAAAAGAAAAACCCAGGAAGAGGCCTGTTCGCCCCTCTGAAAATCATTAGGTAAAAGTCTCACGACTGATAGTCAGTAATACCGAATCATGGGGCTATGAAAAAAAAACTGAAATAATTAGATGAGAAATTATTGTGAAAACTTACGATTTTAGATTTGTTAGCAATTAAAGCTGCCGCAGAATTGATCGTGAGAAATGGAAGGCCGAAAAATGTGGGAGAACAAAAATGCGGGATACAAAATTACTATTCCTGCCCTGCCTTTTCATTTTCCAATGAGGCAAACTCTGTAGGATGCTGTAGGGAAGGTATGGCGCGGTGGTTAGAATCATTATTTTTCATTGTGGTTCTTATGACAAGATCAATCCCTTTGTACACTGTGGTGATTTTCATCTGGGCAGTGCAATTTCTACAAATCAGCTTCGGTCTAGTTTTAACTACAGTGAGAACAATTGCTCTCCTCCGTAATGGAATTAATTTGAAGGTCGTTGGAAGGTTGAACATTGACCGTTCCTCTCTGGAATGCGCCATACGTCCAACTTTTACTAGGAGTTTTAGTAATTGTAAAAAAATTAGAAAAAAATCTGTATGAGTATTTGTCCTAACCATTAAATTATAAGCGCTAGTCATGTGCATTCTGGGAGACGGGTACGGTACGCAGTATTCGACTCCAAAAGCAAGAAAGGGCTGGTTAGCCTGGGTGAGATTTATTCCACGTAAAAAGGGTGTGATAGAGATGCTGCTCCCCTTCCTGGAATAAGAGGTATCGGATTGAGGGATTGAGTGGACCATCCCCCCAAGGAAAAAAAAACCAAGGGTTTTCTGTACGGCACTCTTTAGCTTAGGAGGTGAAACGGGAGGGGGCATTCTGCAGTTTCACTGATTCTTTCTCCTATTTCATGCTGTGTAGGTAATAGGTCTCACTCTGGTAACACTGCAAACTCTTGCAGTTGCGATGATAAAAATGAATCACTTTGGTGGCCACAGGAACTTGTAGGTCTCCACGAGGTGGTCCGTAGAAGCTCCGCCTAGAGCCATGTGGTACCTGCACCAAACCGAACTCGC